ATGCTAACATCTGGGGAATCCAGATAAAGTGTATATGGACTTGTTTGTGCTACTTCTGCAAGTTTTCTGTAAGTCTGCTATTATTTCAAGAAAAGGATTCTAAAAAATCATAGGCTCTGAAGTGTGGCTGCCTAGGTTCAAATCCTGGCTCTGCCACTTATTAGCTGTGTAACCTCTCTTTGCCTATTTTCTTATTTGTAAAATTGAGACAATAAAAGCATTAGCTCAAATTGTTGTAAAGAATAAAATGATAATCAGAGACTTAATGTAAAGCATTTATAACAGTGCCTAACAGATAAGAAGCACTCTAATCTGGCCTGGACTGGTGGCTCACTTTGAGAGGTCAATGTGGGTGGATCACCTGAGGTTAGGAGTTTGACACCAGCCTGGCCAACATGGTAAAACACCGTCTCTAGGAGAAAAAAAAGACAGAAGCAAGCAAACTTAATGGGAGAAGTTATGGTTCTTTCGTTAGAGTACTATCACTCTTCAGTGTGGACTCTCAGCCTCCAGGCTTGGACCTCCTTTAACCTATCCTCTGAATGCTGTCAAGGAATCTTCAACCTTCATACACACACCCATTTACTTACAACTCTGATAAGTTTATGCCTTCTTAAAATCTTCAACGTTAGCTTTAAGGATAAAATTCCAATTTCTTTAATTTTGTATATAAAGTCTATCATGATCTAGTTGCAGCACACTCCTTTGTTCTCATCTTTCAACACATGTCCATAAATATACCCTTCACTCAGACCTCAAATAACTACTTGTCCAAGCCTTGAAATAGAATATCCTCTCTGCCTGGAATAGAATTTCACCCTTATTTATCTAGCCAACTCATATTCACCCTCAAGATTTATCTCAGCCTGATGCAGATGCTGCTGTGAGCACACCAAAACTCTATATGCATTCCTCTAATATAGTATGATAATATACGCACTGATTTGTCTGTTGTGTTTATTAGGTTCTAAGTCTTAGATGGTAAAAGTCTTACAAGTCTTTTAAGGCTCTGAATCCCAACACAAAACCTGATACAATTACTGCTGCAATTGTTTTGTGTTGGGATTCAGAGCTTTAAAAGACAATTGTAAAGTAATAACAATTACTGTTAAAAGACAATAGTAAAGTAATAACAATTACTGTTAAGTGAGTGAATCTCTTGACAAAAAAGCAATAGTATATACCAGCTTAGCCATACCCTGACTTAGTCCTAAAAGTCCAGTATATATGTACAAATAGGATAATCTGTTGAGTAACAAATGAAAGCGTCTGTCAAATACATAGGACTATACACTTGAGTCAACTCTATACTTAAGGAAGTATATAAAATGTTAGCCAGGTACATTTTAATCATTAAAAAAGACTAGCTCTGTGACTCAAGAATTCAGAAAAAGAAGACGGCAGTAATGTTCATGGATTTCCTAAAAGACAATAACCACAACAATAGTGCAGTATTGATTTATTAAAAACAATACAAATAACTTAAAATGCTTTTGCTGCCAGAGGCATACACCATTTAATATGACAACTCTTCTTCTAAGTCCCTTCTCTCCACTAGCCAAGAAAGAGAAGGCCTAATTTTAGTTCATACAGTTATTTCTAACCAGAGTCTCTTAAAAAAAAAAAAAAAAAGAGCTAATACAATCTGTCTGAGAAGGGTTTAAAACGTGCTAGTTACAATGGCTGGTTAATTCCTAGAACCAAAATCTTGACCAGAGTTCTCTTTCCCACCATGAGGTGGGCAAAACACATGGCCAAATAAAAAAGGTGCTAGAAAAAGGCCCTTGAGCTGTATTAAACATAATAAAAATAACGTTTGAAAATAGTATCTTTACCAGCTGGAAACACAATGGTTCCAACCATTTGCTCATTCTCCCTAAGACTTCTTTTTCACAAATGGATAGACTGATTATTTTTACAACTCAAGAAACAAAATCCCAGGAGTTGAAGATCACAATTTAAACCAGATAAAATACAGATAGTAGTAATATAAAAAGTCCACACACCCCAAGACATATTTTATCAGTTTCCTTTTTATATTCTCTACCTCCTTCTTTTCTTTTTACCTTTTTTTAATTGCCATTCCTTCTGTAAGAAAACTCACTAAGAAGCTTCTTGAAAGAGAACATATTTGAAATGAATTTTGAATGGAGTGATGATAGACTCACATAAACCATCAGAGTGACCATAAAGGGATAAGAAGAAATTACCCAAGAAAAACAGAACTATTCAATCAATCAATAATTTAAAAAGATGTAAGTTGCCTAGTGACAAAGTCACTGAGTATTGATATGTAAACTGATTTGCCTCTGACTTTTTATAAACAGAGCTGAAAAGAAAATCAGAAGGAGAAAATTCCTCTTGATTCCATACGCAAAGTACGAAGGTTAAGAAACTATTTCATGGTATTTTATATACTAGACCTCCAAATCCTATTGTGGGATTTCAGGTAAACACCGGATGATATATACCCTCTATAATTATTACTGCTTTCAATGAACCACTATAAAAGTTCAAATGTAATCCCAGGGCTCTGTGGAACAACATTGAAAAGCCACAGCAAAAGCTGTCTATTCCTAACTCTAACTAATTTGCTATACTTCTTAGAATATCAAATTCTACCAACATTTGACAATCTTGCTACCCAGGTTTACCAACAAAGGAACAGCAATAATGTCATACTAAGCCTCACTTAAAGAGTTTTTGCACAAACTGCCATATACTCCCTGTACTCTCTACTAAGAAAAATACTTACTTTGAAAGCTTTTAGCATCTGATTCAGTTTCACTGGATTATGAGTTCCTAGAAGGCAGAGCTATGTCTTCTTCATTGTGGATCCTCCCCCTTCCTGAACCCTGCCCACTCAGAACTTTACACCCAGCAGATGCTCAAAAAGTGGCTTTTTTTAAAAAATGAGAAAAAATCCAATGTCCACTAATAGAGGAATAGTTAAATTATGGCATTTATATAATAAACTTTTTTAAATGATCTGGTAGATTTATACTTATGGACATTAAATATGTCTAAGAGGTGAATGGAATGGCTATAATTTGTATGCATAGTTCAAGCCCATTTTTGTAAATATTCATATATATACATGAATATATAGATAAATAATTTTCATTTACACATAAGCAAAAATTTAAACCTTTTCCAACAAAATGTTAACAGTGGCAATCTGTGGGCAGTGGGATTTTGAGTGATGCTTACATTCCTGTTCATATACACCTTTATATAATATTTTTTTTTAATTTAAGTAATGAATGGTGGTTCCTCAACAATAAAGATGTTTTCAAATGTGGGGGAAGTCAAGTAAATTGAACTTCCTAAGCCAATTACTATTCTTCTTTTCCTCAGTTCTCCGAAGTGACTTCAGCCCAGCTACCTCTCAGGTTGTTGCTCCTTTGTCATTTGCTTTATCATTCTACCTTTTCATCCTTCTTTTCTTTGTGCTTTCTTCATTCATTGCTTCACTCATGTTAATTCACTATCTAGGCCACTGCAATTTATTTATTTATTTATTTAATTTTTTTTTTTTTTTTTTTGAGACAAGAGTCTCACTCTGTCACCCAGGCTGGAGTACAGTGGCGCAATCTCGGCTCACTGCAACCTCTGCCTCCTGGGTTCCAACGATTCTCCTGCCTCAGCCTCCCAAATTGCTGGGATTACAGGCACCTGCCACCATGTCCAGGTAATTTTTGTATTTTTAGTAGACACAGGGTTTCACTATGTTGGTCAGGCTGGTCTTGAACTCCTGATCTCAAGTGATCCACCCATCTCAGCACCCCAAAGCTCTGGGATTAAAGGTATGAGGCACCACACCGGACTGCAATTTATTTTTATGTCCCTTTCATCTCTTATTCCTCATATCCCAGACTAAACCAAAAAAAAAAAAATGAATGTTGACCACCATGAGTTAATACTACACACCCACCAGAATAATTAAAATTTAAAAGATTGACAATAAATAATGTTGGCCAGGAAGTACAGCAATTGAAGAAACAAAAAAATGGTAGAACTACTTTGCAAAAAGGTTTGGCAGTATCTCATAAAATTCTGATCCAGAATTCTACTGCTAGGTATATCTACCCAAGAGAAATGAAACATATAACCACAAAAAATCCTTGCATAAGGTTGTTCATAGCAGCTTTATTCATAATAGCCCCAAACTGAAACATCCCAGGTATTCATGAACAGGATAATAAATAAATTGTTAAATTCATATAAGACAATACAACTACTCATTAATGAAATGAACTACTGAAACATAACAACATAGAAACATCTCAAAATTATCATGCTGAATAAAAAAGTTTTATATAAAAGAGTACATACTGTATGATTCTATTTATACGAAGTTCTACAATAAACAAACTAATCTATAGTGGAAAAAAATCAGAACAATGGTTGCCCATGGGGAGGTGAGGGGAGTGGGTTGAGTGGAAAAGGACATGAGAGAAGTTTCTGGGATGATGGGAATGTTCTATATCTATTTAGGTAGGGCTTTAAGTTAAGCATTTGTCAAAAGCTTGCTTCAGATTTGTGTAGATTTGAGGTATTTAAAACTTACCTCGAAAGAAAAATAATGAAATATTGACCTCTATCTAATATTATGCATCCTGAAGTGTTTAGAGGTTAAGTGTATTTATGTCTCAAACTTACTTTAAAATGCATAAAAAGATGTGATGGGTTGATGGATAATAGATAGATATATAATAAAACAAATTATAAGAGGTTGATCATATTAATAGAATTTAGGTAGTAAATGGTTGTTGACTATACAATTCTCCCAACTTTTCCATATGTCCAAAATTTTTAAAAATGAAACGTTAAGAAAAAAATAGTAAACTTTGATCTCCAAGTCAAATTACTTTTTGCTCAGTCTCCAGAGACAGTCAGTCTCATTTTGTGGCAAGAAAAGTCAATTTCCCTCTACTTAGACCTGTAGGCAGGCACATTCTGTGTGCTACTTAGCAGTAGGGTCAAAAGTGGTAAATTAGCAAGTTTGCCCAGAGAGAAGATTGGTCCCAAAGGATGAGCCAAAAAGGAAACTCACTGATGCAAAGCAATCAAAGAGTGACTACACAACTACGGGCTGTAATAGCACCTTTGGTAACTGTTGTTTTTTTTTTTGTTTTTTTTTTTTAATCCAAAAAACCAATAGCACTTTCAACCAGTGCTAGATCCCCTTTAGGGGAGTCTGCCACTACCACCCAAATATTCACTAACATTCTTAGGCAGCTTTTCTACTCTAAGTACAACCAGAAGTACCTTCTAACAAAAACACACACAGCTTTGAATTGTAACATGGGACAGATTTATGGAATATGGAAGACATTAAAGTATTTGCTTTCTCTCTGAAAATAAAGAGTGCAGACTCATAAACAATGCCTAAAAGGCATTTCAGCAGCTTAATCCATGCAGGACATGTTTTGCTTTTTGAGACAATCAGGAAAAATTGGGTATAGGAAGCTATAAACAACAAGAATTTGGCTTAAGAAGGAGAACAGAATAAATGTTTTTTATGGAAATCACTTAACATTTTTTTGAAGGGGTTTATTTATATGTGACAAAGCCTACAAGACAGAACTTGTATATAAGTAGTAGCTCTTACAGTACATCTAACATTGAGTGACTTCTCATGACAGTGGCACCAAGCAGGACCAGTCTCAGCATTTCCATCAACAACTACATTTGCTGAGTTTAATAATTCCCTTTATTGTCCAATTTTCTCCAAACAGAGGAAATCCACTTAGATGATTCTCAGCATTCAGGCTCAGCCAAAAGTTTTTCATCTTTTAATTTCCATTGTACCTTAAGTCTGATGTTTGGTAAAGTGGATTTCCTTAGGTAGGCTCAGTCTTTTAAGTCCAAGGAATGAAAGAAGCATGATAGGAAAACCACCACAGAATTTTGTAACTTAACAAACATGCCACATACAAAATTTACTGAGTTAACAAGGTTTAAGATAGAATAAAACAAACAGTACCATGGAGTAGAAAGAGGGAAATACTCTCTTAGAGAAAAATTACTATTTTCAACAGATAACTTACAATGTACAAGTATGATCTGATATTCCTAAAAGCAAAACAACTTATGAATAAGGTACAGGTTTTTGCTACAGGGTAGTATGTGAAAAGTTCCAGGTTTCAGAGATAAAGAATTCATGTTCTGTTTTGAGACTTCTGTATAACCATAAGCAAGATACTGAATTCTTTATTTACCCCATCAGTAAAGTTAATCAAACTTTCTAAATTATTTCTGTTCAAAGACTTAAACTTCTCATTATTGCTAAGTCTTATTCCCTCTGACTACAAAAGCAGCAGCCCAGTATAACACATATAAATGGCACTTATATTCCAAATGATATTCAGTATATCCTACACAAATAAGGAGCACATATCCTATATATACTAAAATCATAAAACCTTCGGTTCTTCCCCAACTTCCCAACTTTCACTCCTATGTTTTTCTTACTTTATAGTATTTTATGGATAGTCTGGTAAGAAATAATTGCTTGAAATATTTTTCCTCAGATGCTCACAAATATATAAATTGTTAATGACTGGGACACTATATGCAACCTAATATTTTCTTCAATACTGTTGACTCCACAGCCTTATTTTTTTTTTTTTAATTTTTATTTTGAGACTGAGTTTCACTCTTTTTGCCCAGGCTGGAGTGCAATGGCACAATCTTGGCTCACTGCAACCTCCTCCTCCTGGGTTCAAGCAATTCTTCCGCCTCAGCCTCCTCAGTAGCTGGGATGACAGGCACCCACCACCATGCCCAGGTAATTTTTTGTATTTTTCAGTAGAGATGGGGTTTCACCATGTTGGTCAGGCTGGTCTTGAACTCCTGACCTCAGGTGATCCACCCACCTTGGCCTCCCAAACTGCTGGGATTACACGTGTGAGCCACTGCACCTGACCAGCCTTATTTTATTTTTTTCTTTCCTTTGGTGAACACTAACTTCTGTGACTTCAAGTTAAAGATGGCAGATCAAACATATGCAGTAAGCTCACCTCCCTCCTCAAAACTCGACTAAACAAAATTAAACAGCTTTTTTTTTTTTTTAAGTCAAAACCCCACAAAACCAATGGGTACAGAAGAAAAACCAACAGCAAAAAAAATTTTGCAAGTTAGTCCAGTGTGGTAAGGAGACAGAGTGAGTAGTGGAGAAATCCAAAGGCAGCTTGATTGTATCACATTGCTAACACTGGGTATCTCTGGAAGGAAAGGCAGAAAATGAAGCTTATAGGGGTTTAGCTGAAAGTCTTCTTAAGAAGAAGTTAGACCCTGAGATCACCTTTCTTACTTCATCTAGCCAAACAACTGTCCCTCTCTCACCACAGCAAAAAGCTGGAGATTTATTCTTTATATACAGTAAAAAAAAAAGCATCTCCTGACTGGCACAGCTGTAACAATTGAGAAGGATACCATTCTGAAAACAGGGGATTAAGTATGAGAGCTTACATAGTGCATGCTGATAACCCCAATCTTCCTGCTCCCCTCCCCCTGCCACACACACACTTAATGCTTCTTAAAATGCTGGCATATAAGAAAAAATCTAGAATCTCATTGTTGGGGTAATTTTACCAGCCACCCCCCCAAAAAAAATCACCAAAAGATATTGACAAAGGACCCACCCTCACCCCGCCAAGGTAACTGTCCATCCAGATCACTCTGGAGGTAAGGGGAGGGAATGGGAGAATAACTTCCATAGGAGTTGAAGTTAAGTGGTTATATAAGTATGCTATGTCTTGGATCCATTAGAAACCCACATTTATTGCTGAGCATGTATAGAAATAGGGTCCAGACTTTTCATTACTTATGACTGCTCTCTTAGTTTAAGTTTCCCAGAAGGAGGACCTGAAAGAAGGATTTCAGTCCAAGGAATTTATTTAGGCGAGGACCCCAGAAGGGACAAGTTGAGACATGAGGAAGTGAGACATGGAAAAAAGTCAATAAAGGATATGCTATCAAGAAAGTTAGGTTGACTAAACCTATTTCCATGGGGAATTCAGAAATGGCATAGAAATCTGCCTCAGAGGTATTCCATACCATCCTCCTTCCTGGTGGGCAAGGAAGCTAAAGTATTTATATATCAAATTCCATGAGTTATGAGCTGAGGGCTACTGGGCCACGGGCAGAGGACAGCAGGCAGAAGGAGAGAAGAGGTGGCATTAATTCCCCATTTCTGGCTTCCAGAGAAAGCCCTTTGGCAAAGAAATGCAGGTGCTAGCAACTGAAGGTTCAGTCAGCACGCACTGTAGGTAAGAACTAAAGGGATATGAACAGGGCACTAACAGCATCTGCTACATCCACCATGATAACTGAACTAAGTTGTGTCACTATCTTATTCAATGTAAAAATCACTCTTATAGGTTTACTCTTGAATTCTTCCTGTCTTTAAGAAAGCTAATACCTAGTAGTAAATGACAGGGGACCAAACATTATTAAGCACTTTTACCAAATTATCTATGCACAGCTGTATAACCTTTTAGTTAATGGTACTAACCTGATCACTCTGTATTATAGTTAAATATTAATTACCTTCTTTACACCAATGAGAAAATGAGCCCAAAGCAATAAAGTGATGAATTAGGTCCAAAAAGAAAACTGAGGTTAAAAATAAAAACTAAACTCATGGCTACCATTTTAAACTTTCAAAATATGCTGTTTATTAACTTCCATATTGACAATAATTGTGTCATTTCTCTAATAGAAGAATTTTAGCCCAAAGCAACTAAGCAGAAAGGTACATGTTACTTTATTTCGTGATTAGGTAGTCAAAACTAAAAAATCATACCTGGCTGCAATATTAAATTTCCGAAGGCAAATGCAACCTGAATGTCTCCTGGGCCCATTAACCAGAGCATCCTTTTAGGTTACTCTCACAATATTATACTTCTAAACCCATTGGCTCAAAAACAGCACTTCTCAAAGTGGCTAAACCTCAGTCTCCACTCATATTCTCACTCACAGCCCACTTCATATATCTATAGGAGTCTCTCGCACTGAGTCTCCCTTCTTTACAAATATACCTTCCTTTGTAATATCTACTTTGTTTAAAGGTAGAAACACCATAGTAGAAGGCCTGGGATATTTATCTTTCAGTCTTTATATCCTAGGGTATATGATTGCTTGGCTATGAAGTGAAGTTAGGGGAGAAGACTAGGTCTGATATAATGATATAATCTTTCAGTTTCATATCCTAGGGTATATAATTGGTTGGCTATGAAGTGAAGTTAAGGAAGAAGACTAGGTCTGAATGGTTGCATCAATGTTCCTTCCTGATATTCAAGCCCTGTGGCAAACTCTGGACTGCTGTGCCAGGATCTTTATTCACACGCTTGTTCTCCTAGGGATTCTACTGTCTCTCCTTGCAATCTGACTACCATGTACCAGTTTAAGTATGCACAAGTGTGGGCAAAGTTTGCCTACTTTCCCATGGGTCCATAATGCAGCACAGGGGATGTAGCTAGGTGCATGCTCAAGTGTCTCAAAGTTTTCTGGGATAGTTAAAGAGACTGTCCAAAGCATACATAAAACATCCTGTGGAGTATTGCTAAGCTTCTCATTCCAGCTATGACTAAGCCAAGACAATTTGTTATACAAGTTTTAATTCTTCACAACAGGAGGACAGAGATGGTTTATCAAAGCCCAGAAATTAAACTGTTAGTTCAAACCAGTTTATTGCCAACTTTCTGTAGCTGGCTTGCCCAAAGAAGTTGCTTTTGTTCAGTGCACTTATTTTTCTAGCCTATAGGGCAATGAGGAAAAAACACTGACCTACTTCTAAAAATGTCAATAATAACATAAAACCTCTAAACAGATGTTTCATATCATCAATAATCTTTGCGTCATTTGAGTACCATCTTGGGTACTGACAACTCAGAATAGCAATGCTATAATTAACAAATATCTCTTCCTATAGATCATAAAAATGACTTATGGCCTTCTTTTCCCATATCCCCATGTCCCTATACATATTCCAACC